ACTGATGACTAGTCCTTCTTTTTAGCCTTCAAAGCAAATGAGAATGTTTTACCTGCCAAAATATACCACATAGTTCAAGAAACATGTAGATGTGGTACTTAGGGACATGATTTAGTGGGCAATATTGGTGGTAGGTGGACTAGATGATCTTAGAGGTCTTTTCCAACCTTAGTGATTCTATGATTCTACAGTATGTCTAGGAATAAATTTCCAGGATAATTCTTAGAAGATATTCTTTGTCTACTACATAAACGAAAACAGAATCCTCCCAGAAATAATTTGTGTTGAAGTGGAATTTCTTCTCACTGGAAAATCTGTAATCTCATGGAACTAAGGAAAATTGGCAGCATTTGGGAGAACACATTTCTTTATCAAATTTGGAGAGGGGGGCTAGCCAGAAGCATAGCAAAATGTGACACATTGCTTTCTGTCTTTATATCAATCTGCAACGGAAACATGTTTCAATAAGGAAGTTGTTGCACTGAAGAAACATCAAAAATACGTTGAGTTCTACAATTTTTTGTGACTTTTCTCAAAGTTTAAGTCTTGAAATAAGAAAAAAGTGCAAGTAGTTTTTTTTTTTTGCTGTTCTAGAGACAAGTTTGTAAAAGGAATTCAAGTATTCTTACATATGAATGCTGAAAAACTGAAATGTTATAGGAAGTCCAGTTTAAACATGCCATGTGCTGAAAAAAGAATGTATCATGATTTTCTATATTGCTGATGGGAATATGGTTTATATGGTTACCTGATTGGAAGGTAACCTGTGAGGCTGTTAAGAGCACAAAGTTTTACAGTAGCCTGAAAAGACTGAGTTAATTTAGGAAATCTGGCTTAGGAAGGGGGCTGCTTAATTAGAACTTGTTTTCCATTAAAATACCTCCCACTCTCCAAAACTGCTGCCAGAAGATGAAATATAAGAAACTGCTCAACGGTATTTCAGCTTTTTGTGGGACCTAAAGTTCACTACAATTTTCTTTCCTATGACTTTAGAGTTTGTCAATCTATCTCTGCCTTCTCTTTTCACAGTATCTGAGTTTGCTTTGCTACACAAGCTCAAACAGTGTATAACAAGCACCGTAACTACATGATTATTTACTCAGGGCTTTGCCTCTGCTGAAGTCCTTTGATTGGGGTTTATGTGCAGAGTTTCATGTGCTTAGTTCGGTGAAGTTTGGTTTAGCAAAGTACAGTTCAACAGTAAACACATGGAAAATTCTACCTTGCTATTCCTCTCCCATAGCATAAAATGATGATGTCCTAATATTAAATTACATCATTAAACAAGATAGCAATTAGATCAGAAATCTCTTCTTTGTGTTCCTTTGTGTGGGGTTGTTCTTCTTTTGCATGGGGTTTTTTCCTCCACTTCTGAATCCCATCCACCTCACCTCAGATAGTAGCAGTGATTTTTTACATGTTGCTATCAAGCATTTGCCTTTCTGGCCTTGGAGCTCTGGAAACAGTTGTCCAGCAATGGTTCACGACAGAACTGTCTTCACTTTAAAAGAAAATATTCTGAGAAGTTCTCCATCTATTAACGATAGATTTGTATGAACAGCAGTGAGTTTTCAGAGCAGCTCCAGATAATTGGGAAGAGACTGTCCAAGATTGAAACTACCTCAGAAAAGACACCACATGAAAATAAAAACCCATGTACTTCCAGACATGGTGCATACCACAATTACCTTGCTTCCAGGGAAGCATGTAACCTATTGTGAAAGAAGACTTGGGGTGCATCTCAGGGAATACTTGTGTGCAACCTCAGCTTATTAGAGAAGCCAAGTGTTTCAGAGCTGGTCCCCAGCTGCAGTGCTCTTTATTTGTGTTACAATGGCACCTGCTCTGAGCTAGCCACTCAGGTTTGCTTCAGCATACTGCAGTGGTCTCCTTTGCTGTTGCTGCCTAGGAAGGATTTGCTTGAGCTTTAGATCACCTCAGAAGAGCCTACATCTGAGGCAGGGATTCAAAACCACAACCTCTAGAGAGCAAGGCAATGATCTTCCTGTGGATAAATTGTAGCTCTACCTGTCCTTGGGATACTTCAGCCTACCACTATCTGCCCTTCCTTTCTTTAGACTGTATGTGGCAGGGGGGGGTTGAACTTGATGATCCTTGAAGTCCCTTCCAACCCAGGCCATTCTGTGATTCTATGACTGATTTTGTGATTAGGGAAGGCGACAATAGAGTGATGCTTTTTTTGTTTTGTTCACCAGAATGGCCATGCAGGCTCAAGTGCTATAACGAAGGCTTTGGGTACAAATTCAAACCCCATGCTTAAAGGAATTTCACTTGTCTCTGGCTTAGGGATGGTATGCCAAAATGAGGCCAAAACAAGCAGCTCTTGTAGAGCAAGAGCTAAGGCTCTGCTTTCAGTGCCTTCAAAGGTGATGTAGCTAGAAGTTCCACTTGCATACCAAGAATGCTTCCTCCTTTTTCAAGGCAAAACTGCTAAGCAACTGGAGATTAATAAAAGTAAGAAACAAACCTAATGGAAGCTTTCTGCCACCAACTGAAGTGGAAAACTAGACAGAAAGTATAGGAGGAGAGGAATACAGGTCTCAGGTATGGAGACCTGCCAGTGTTTCAGCCAATCTGCCACCCAGATGAACTCTGCTGGAGCTTTTGCTGCTGTTCCTTTTTGCTAGACTCTGGAGGACTACAAAATTCCTGGAGAACAGAGAAATTCTTGGAGGCCAGTTCATCCTCTTCCAGTACCAATGCTTTTTGTGAAGTCAGTTCCCTTTTATGTCTTGCTTGGGATCAGAAGATTATACTACCTCCTCTTTAGGCCCTTAAGGGGCTATTAAAGCTTTGTGAGAGATTTCTTCAGTTAGTCTCCTGCATTTTCCAAATAAGTCTGAGATTGTATCCTGCAGATGCAACTTCTTGCTTAAGAAGTTAAATATTTTGTGGGTCAGGAACGGAAAGTCTCCATTTGCTTTCAAGGGGATTGTGGGAAGGACCAAAATCACTGCTCACTGCCATTACTATACTCTTCGGAGGTATGCAAAATTAATGCTTCAGTCCTTCCTCTCCCTCAAAGAGACTATTTGTGGATTTCTCTGCTAGAAGAGGTTTTAACTGTTCAAGATTTGATTTTGTCACCCAGTTCAACACAGGTGTGAATTGAACCACAAAGTTCCAAGGTGACGAAGAGTGCAGAAAGGAGGTTTGACATGTACAGTTTGACCTGGAACTGCAAAGCACTTATAAGTAAGAATTTTCTGACAATGCCTCCTCTTGGGAACCTACTTATACACAGCAAAACCAAAGGTGCTGCTGTATTCCTAAGCACTGTAAAGAACACCATGTTGTGCATATGTATCAATTCCTGCCAGAAGAATTTATTTTAATGCTTACTAAAAGCATACAAATCCAGTGGGGAAATAACAGCATCTGCTATTTTCAGAAGTAAAACTCTTTACCTGGTAAAATACAAACTCCCTGTTGTAGGCAGCAGGCTTTATATTGCCTCTAAAGTCATTTTACATTCTTAGCCTCACACTGCCCTGTAGTGGCAAAGCCAAAATCTGCAGGGATACTGTTTACACAGGATCTTTTAACTTCTGTAATTAGAACTAGTTTTCCCATTACTACGAGGGACAGAAAGAAAACCCTGCAGTGGCATCAAAATGGCATAGTTTATCTTTTTCATAGGAAACAAGACAAATCTGTTCATGCCATGAATCTGTTTGTCTCCAAAAACTATTGGCTGACTCCAACCAAATTTAGCTGCAAAAATGAAGATATCAAAGATGGCCAGACATCATCAGATTTTTTAAAAAAGTGGTCTTAAAAAGAACTCATGGAAGAGAATGGATGTATTGTCAGAACAGAAGCTGCTAGAAAACAAAGAAAAAACAGAGAAAGTGAACTGATAAATGCCCCAGAACAAAAGTCTCAGTCATATCTCACAATGAACCAACAGTCAGAAATACTTAGAATCCCATGCTGAAGTAGAAATCAGGCTTCATTAGTCTTGGAGCTTGCTACTTAAAGTGAGTAAACTTCCTTCTTAGATCTGCTCTCTCTTCCCCCCCAGCTCTCTAAAGACAGTATTCCGAAGATAAAAAATGGCTGGTGCTTTATTTTCTGTACATTCCTACTGGTTTCTGTCTTTCAAGCTGTAACACATTTGGCAGGGCTCATAGCAGCATAGAATGGGCTCAAAAGTTCTAGTACTTCAGGTAGCAAAAATGCATGTATTCAAGTTGATGGCACAGGAAGTGTTACTTTTAGCTCTCAGAAGATTAAGACAACTACTGTTCATCAACAGAGGCAAAAATAACACAAAATAAAATGTTCGCACACAGCAAGTATGTGTTACTGTAATTGTCCTTCAGCTGTTTTCAGGAGAGACTTCTGGCTCTCAGCTAATGCCCTTCAGCTTCCTTTGCAATGAGATCAGATAAAGAGGCACTTCAGAATGCAATTCAGTTAATCTCCTTTGGATATCTCCTTTGGTATGAGATGAATGAATGTTGAAAATGGCTGTGCCAGTCCATTTCCTGTAGGGAAAGCCTAGATATGGGCATCTTTTTTGTGAAAGTTGAAATTTGAAGACCTCCTACTATAGCACTAATTATTCATCTCTCAAAGTTCAAACAATGTGAATGAATTCTCAAAGCCAAAGGACTACCATCTTTGTGAAAACTGTGATGAACTGAGACTGTTCTAACAATGCTAAAATGAGACCTGGTGCCAAACTTGACTGAAAGTTTCTCAGAGTCTCTTGAATCATTTTATGATGCATTATTCTTCAGATTCAGCAGGCATAATCAACTTTTGGCCCCAGATAGTATCCTCCAGGCAAGATCTTCTAATACTTCAGTTTTTAGTGAAATGCAAATTGATATTGCAGAAGTTTGGGAAATAGATCAACAAACTTCCTCTGACTTGAAAAAAAAAAAACAACACTTCCATTCTCTTTTAAAACTCAAGCTCATCTAGGTGGTACATGAATAAGCACAAAACCCATGTTTTTTTTAAATGTGCTTTTTAATCATTTGAGAAAATAAGTTGATTATAAAATGATCCAGAGGGGTATGCAACTTGGAAGAAAGTTCACTGTAATTTTGTACACAAATAAATAGAGCATTGTTAAAAATAACTAGAGAACATACAGTATAGATACAGTAGTGGGGAAAAGCTAAGTTCAAAACCTGTCAAGAAAGATCAGAGTGGTGCATAGTTCCTTTACTTGAGTGCTGTTAGCTTTTTCTGCTTCATTTTGATGTTAAGCTGATGGCTCTTCTATGATTTTGAGTGCTCTCATCATTTTCTTCTGTGCTCTGAGATTCACTAGATTCTGGGACTACGCACTGAGTGTCCTGACAGCCGCAGCTTTCCACATACACGTATTTATGTGTAATTGACTTCCCAGAGGGACATTTCAGTTCCACTTCCTTCATGCTAGTTTCTACTTCTTTGCAGCAGGAACAACTGTGCTCCATAGAACTGGCCTCAACAGAGTACCTGTTAAGATGGAGAAAGGCCGCATCATTTTGTGCTAGAAACCAGAATACAAAGGAGAGAGTGCAGATAGGTACAGAATTTCTGCAAGAAGTTTTGTTTTGTATGCAAAAGAGACATATTTAGGGCTAATGAATTGTCCTGAACTCATCTGACAGGGCAGTAGTTTTAACAATGCGCATTTAAAATTCGGTGCATTTGGATGAGATTTTCTTCTTGTAAAAAAAAATTGTCTAGGTCCTACTAAAGAAATGCAATGAGTTCTTGGAGTTCTGTTTCCTTATATTTCTCTCATCATCCCAGCACAGACAGATTTTAAACATGCTGGATCAAACAACTAAGGGCAGATGCAGCCCTGAGCTGAGAAAGAAAACTGCTGAGCCTTGTGGCTACAATGCCACCTATAATGACATCACATCAATTGGTTACAAGAACTACAGTTGTATCAGATGAATCCAAGTGTGTATTCCAAAACAAGCAGCTTTAACAAGAAAAAGAACCAGAAGACCAGCTCCTTCTGTTGCTGTCTCACAATAGGGTCTTTTTTTGCAGCATTGTATCCATCACCTTCCCAAATACCAATGCTGACATGCAGAATCTGTCAATATCAGCCCATAAACTCTGTCAAGAGCCATCTTTTTCTTATGCTTGGATGCAGAGGCAGCTCCAGCAGGACTGTAAGATTGTGAGGTATTTGAAAATGCTAATAAAACCCTCTGGCTAACTAGAGTTCAATCTCAGAATAAAAGCCAGTTTTCTTTCATGTAAGGTACCCAACAGTACATGCAGCAACAGGCAGCAAATGACAGTTTATTTGGAAATCTAGAATTATATTATTCTAATGTGTTTTAATGGCTTGATATCATGTGTCGAACTAGCCACTTTCTTGTAGATTTTCAGGGAGTAACATATAATTAAATTACTCTACCAATACGACTCCTAAGGCATTCGTTTTGTCACTTTATTGTATAAAAATTGTGCATGTTTGAAAAGATACGTGCTTATTTCATTTTCTATGTTAATGTATGTGTTTATATGCTAACTCCTGAAAGGCAGCTTTTCAGCTTATGAACATCAAGACTGGCTACTCTCTGGTCTCATTCACATTACAGGAAATAATCCATGTTCTCTTGCAGTGACTTCTATCCAAGACAGTCTGATACAAATGAAAGATGAGTCATCTCTTAACATAGATAGAACTTGCCACAGGTATCTGAATCCCAATGCAATCCAGTACCCTTTTCTGCTTTGTGTTAAATTGAATCAACTGCTGTGTCGGAGATTTCATGATTTTGTGCCCATGAGTTTGGGAACTGATAGTTTTAAGTCTTCTGCTACTCTGTAGCCCACCAATTTTTTGTTCCTTTTACATAAACAATGTCAGTTGCAGAATTCAAATCTCATTGTCCAATCAGTTTACTCACAGTGAGAAAGTTCCACATGTTCCTTCACATTCAGTCAGGACAACTCTCTCCAGAGAACGGCAGTTCTTATAGACAATAAAGTCTTTTCTCTCACGGACAGAGCATGGTGTGGGGCTATCCAGAGGTACACCTAAAGGAAAAGATCAGAAAATACTTTCAGTGAAATAGCTCAATTTTTTCCCTGAAGTTCAGTACACTTGGCTTTGCTAGCGCACAGGAAGAATTGTCTTGAGAGGTCTTTCTGCTTCAGTTTAAACCCTCCCATACAGATTGGACACTGAATGCTTGGAGTAACAAACATAAACACAGGTTTATCTATTTAAATACAAACATATCAGCCTTTGCATAATAAAATGGGCTGATTTAAGAAAATACATCTTCTGTACTGTTAATTCAAGTACACCAACATACTTACAGGTTTTGCAACAACCGTTAGGTAAGAATGTAACAGTTCCCTAAAAGAACAAAAAAAGACAGGAAAAATAGTATTATTTTATTTCTCTGTATTAAAGATGTTTTAGTTCAATAACAGAGGAATGCTATTCTTCAATGGCTAGAAATTACTAGCTAAAACTCTAGCACTTATCAGAATAAACAAACATAATGGTCTATACAACAGACTTGAAATCTATCAGTTTTTACTGAGGACTGTGGAAATACAGATGAAGTTTTGAAAGAAGTCTACAATAACCATCAAATCATCACTCAAAAAAAATTCACAAAATATTTTCTCAGAGACTTCTTTTCTATATTTGTATGGTACATGGTGTTACTGCCTACTGACTGGACAGCTGTCTGTGACATTCAAAAAAATATGGTTCTTTTTTAGGCACGACCTCTCACAAAGTAATCAGCAAATACTTCTATCTGAATTCTGACCAGTTTTTTTGGCTACTAAGAGAGAGTTGACAGAAGAATCTTAAACTCTCAGTTACGTATCTTATTTAATACACTCTGTAGGTCTGCACATAGATGAAGCAGAAATCTGTGCCATCGGGACAGAGAAACTTTGGAGAATGATCATCAAAATCAATGAGACATTGTTTAATTAGGTGAATGAACTCACTGAAGTAGTTTATACATTAAGTAAAGGGTACGTTTTCCATATGTACTTACAGGTTTGCAGCTCTCCTCGCTGAATGCAGGACACGTAATTTCAGATGTGGAAGATATAAGCTGGTTCTTGAGACTTGTACAACTGTAAATGGTGCAGTTGTTGTAAGGATCATTTGTAAACTCTCCAGGCTGCAAGTGAAATACAAAATGTAATACAAAAAGGTGAAGGGAGCTCATAGTGAAATGTTCCTCTTCTCTGAAAATGACTTTCACATTGTTTCTCAGTTAGGCTAACAGCAATTTTGAATACAGAATTTTGTGTACATTGCAGTATGCCACAAGTGGAGAGAATCTTCAGTTTTACGTGGGATTTCCCTTGAAAAAAAAGCACTTAGAGCACTTAAAACACATTAACAATACTAACAAAGTCATTCATGTCTATGGATTTTGCCTAGGGAAAGCTAAATAGGGACAATAAAATTGTTTCATATGCAGGCTTTTCTAACATTCTTCAATACACAGAAACTAAATAATAGAGAAAATTTCAAGCTTCTAATCACCAATAAATAAATAAATAAATAAATAAACAATACAAAAACCTTTCCATGATATTACTGGCTTGTCATTCCAGAAAAAGCCTTTCAGAAAATTTGATTTCATTAATCCTGCAGGCCAAAATACTGTTGATTGTTTTAGGTATGTTGTTGACATTTCAGATGCAAAGTTACACAAAGCCTTATCTTTGAAAAGAAAAAGTTCACAAATTTGGTAGAGAAGTAACATGTAGAGCATACTTACATTCAGTATGAGACTGGAACCGTGTGATGTATGTATAATACACTTTGTCTGCACACATTTTCCACAACATTCACCTTCTACTTGTTTCCGTTCATATCCCTACATATTAAAATTAGATAAAAATGACAGCACTGATAGATGCACTGTGGAAAAATAAGGGAAAACATACTAACCCATGAATTGCTTATGCCTTGAAGCATACTCTAGAATGGTGCCTTTCTGTGCTAGACTCCACCAAACAGAAGTAAAAAAAAAAAAGGCTACCGATGGAATAAACTAAAGACTATGGTAAGTATGCCTAAAAAATAAGTATCATTCCATTAAGTGCACTACTACAGACATTTCTTAGCTAACCCTCCCAAGGTGAACTGTTGGTTATACTATCAAGCTACACAAAATAGATAGCTCAAGGACGGTCAGTGTCCATGCTGTAGCTGGATTCTCACTTTCTACTCCCATACACAAAAGATGCAACTCATTGATCACAATGTTTTTTATGGACATGGATATTATGTTTGTTTGTTAATTTTGTCGGTTTTACATTCGTCACTTACTGGTTCACAATATGTGTTGCATGGAATATGTTCACAGGAGATGACATTCAGTTGAGTGCTGATGTTAACTTCATTAGTGCAGAAGCAATCGTGACACTTATCAACAAAGACTGAGGAATTAGGCTATAAATTTAAAGAAACAAAGGTTCGTATATTAATGAGATACGGCATGTGACAGACATTTTTTAATTCCCAAAAAACTCTAAACCAAACCATGGAATAGGAATCTAACATGAACATCACTGGAAATATATTTGTCTAGTTATTTATGAAGACAATATAAATAATATTGAATTAAACGTCACATGTGTTTATTGAACTCCTATATAGCAAAGATAAACTCAGATATTAAAAGCTAAGGAGTCATATAAACATATGTAAGAAAATAGTAACTAGACCTTAAAGAAATTATTAGGGACCTATGTCTGCTCAGAATAATCTTCTTTACAAATCATTTCTGAAAGCATTAAAATTAAAACTGAAATGAAGTGCTGACAGTAAGCATGGATTGACTTTTCCAAAATGCATAAACACCTCACTCTAAAGCCAAATCTCTCTCTGATATTGACAATTAAAAACAACTCTCTATTCACAACAACCTTTTCAAAAAATATCTAAACATTGTTGAGCTGATAAATCCCTGAAAAAAATTGAAAATTTCTAAAATATTGCTGGATAAACTTCCTTATAGCACTTTTGTTACAGTATGCTGAATGGTCTTTTAAGCATTTTCAGAAGACTGTTGAAATATTAACTTACCAAGAACTCAGCATTCTGATGTACACAAACATTCTTGGGAACTGTTAACAAGAAAGGAGTTAGGCAGTTACATCAAAGAAAAAAAGTCCTTACTCCACTATAGTCACACTCATTTCTTCCACAGTGAATTGCAACACTTATGTTCAAATACATTGGTTATTCCACTTTTCTGGTAGCAGATGTGGTGTATGTAAAGTAAAAGAACAAATACTGAATGTGCAACAAGAGAGGAAGCTTTAACCCAATTCACATAGTCCAGTTCCTAGTCAAGAATGTCTATGTAACAGTTACAAAAAGTTCCCTGTATCAATTATCAACAATCTATCTTTTCCTGGATACATTAACAAGGACATTTTGCTAGGTGAAGCTGAGACCACAATCTCAATTAATTCTATAACAGTTTCTACAGGCATCTACAAGCAGGAAAAATGCACTTGAGCTACATGAACTCTATCTAATTTCACAGTTGTAATACCACAATATTAGTAAAAAAAACATTAATAGAAACCAATTCATGGAATCTGACTGCATTCATTAGGGCACTCTCACTAAATCTGATACTAAATTACATAATATATAATGCTAGTCATTTAAAACATATTTCCAAAGGACTTACCACACTGGTACACAGGACAGCACTCATCACTGGGAATATAAGACTGAACTTCAAATCCCAGTGTACATTTGGGGGGTTTAGTTGTGCACAAACTTGTGTTGCATTCTGAAAAAAAAGAAATAACCCAGAAAGTACATTAAATCACAGGTAGGAAAAGGTATCTCTCAGAATTCGCATTTAAGCAGTATTTCCTTGCTAGGAAATATTCCAGACCCTCCCCAAAGAAACAAATTACACCTGGAAGATGCATTTTTCCTAGTGAATCCAGGCACCAGGCACTGGATGGGGAACTGCGCTCTTGTTTTTTTTTTTTTTTTTCTAGTACGTATTTACCAAGTGTAGAAGAGAGAAGTATCACAACTTTTTGCTAAGAAATCATGCGTAACTATTACACTACACTCTCTCTCTCCAAGACGGTAGGCAATTGTTGCAAAATGAAAACCATACAGCCATAGAGAATTCTGCGATCCAGCTGAATTTTACTTGAAAAAAATCTGTTTCTAAATTCAAGAACTGTAGATGAAGTTATCTTGAATCCCAGAATAGAAAATTCCATTATGTTGTGTCACAGCATTATTAAGTTCTTTTATTTGTTTATTTATTTATTTAACACTGGACAAACAGATTTAAGAAAACATATTTCTTGGCTCCCTACTTCTTTGATGCTTAACTAGCTCTTTTCCTTTCTGTTCCTAAAGAATAGAAAAAGACTAGAAACAAAAGCATTAACTCACTGCAAGTGACAATGGGGCAGCAGGGATCTTCAGAGTTGACTTCAGTGACTTCATAGAAGCCTTTCCCAGAACAACTCCTCTTATTTTGTTCAGGACATTTGTGAGGTTCACATACAATGCCATTTCCACCTTCCAGGCAAACACAGTCCTGGCAGTCTGCTGTAAACTTTTCTCCAAACTGTCATTAAAGAAAATAAAGTGAATGACTGCATAGAGAACATCAGTGAAAACAGCAATGAAAAGCTGGGGAACCACAAAACTGCACCAGACTACTTTCTTCTCCCCATACCCAACCTCGCCTTGAAATACAAAAGCAAATGGCAGCATACCTCTCTTGGTATCATATCCAATCCAACACAGCCTGTGAAAATATCAAAATAAATTTCCATTACTACTCAAATAGCAGTAGACATCTTCACTATATGTTGTATAAATACCACATACTATGATCTATGTTGAATGCATCAGAACGAAACAAAGAGGAAACAAATAAGTACCCAACTGAAGTAGTAAAACTCACCACAGGTGTTTACACAGACATCCACACCAGAGTCATACAGCATTGTACCATTAGGACAGAAACAGCCTTCCACTTGTTTAACTGAAGTTTCATTATATGGACTGTATGAGACAAAATGTTCAGAGGAAAACCTTTACTATCACAGGCACACAGAGGAAAGTTAAGCTGAATAACTATTAACTGAAAATACAGGTGCAAATAATTTGTACTTCTGAGATTTAGAAGTTGTCAGTGTTTGCATTTGGTTCAGTTGAACAACATAAAAAGTACAGGCATCTGTATTTGGATCAAGAGAATAGTGGTAACAAATGAAATAGTCAATGACAGGAGGTTGGTTGATTTCTCTCAGCAACATATGCTTCAAATAGCTGAACACTTGTAAGAGATGTAACTAACACTGGAGGAATTCTTTACCTTGACTTGCAGGTTGTCTCTTGAATAGGACCACATGCTCTATATTCTTTATGTTTGGGACATTCATAAGCTGGGAGAATAAAAAAGAGGAAGAGCTCAGTAAGAATATCATACAAAGTTCTCATGACCTTATGGCAAGGAATTAAACATGAAATGCTCATTTTCCTATGTACGCTTGACAACCTTAAGAAGCAAAGATGTTAAATAGATATCAGACTCATGCAATTTTGCCACACAGCACCACTGTTTATATTCAAGGACATAAAGTCAGGAAACTATATCTTGATTACAATTTTGTCATAAAGTAGGTCTCTTTTGTATAAGTTCTTAAAGGGACATGTATTCCTACCCTCCCATTCTCTTTTGATTACACTAAATATGAGGCATCTGCCAATATCTGCAAAATACAGAGTTGACTATGTGAAAAAAGAGACATATCTACTAAACAGATCTTTATGATACAGTAAATGGGTGTGCATTGTTGGAGGCTCATTTAGTACTTCTATTATTAAAAATACACCTGTAAATAACTTGAAGAAATTTTTTACTGGTGTGATTTATTCATGTCTTAATTGCTCAGAAAGAAATATAACCTATGATTAAGACATTATTATAGAATGGTTTGGGTTGGAGGGACCCTTTAAGATTATGTAGTCCAATTCCCTGACATGGGCAGGTACATTTTTCACTAGATCACATTGTCCTGTTAAACACAGCTTTGAAGACTTTCAACAATAGTACAACCACAACTTTTCTGGGTAGCCTTATCCATTGTCTCACCATACTAATCATTAAACATTTCTTCCTTATATTCACTCTACAGCTACCCTCTTTCAGTTTAAAATTATTGTCCCTTGTCCTGTTATTACAGGCCTTGGTAGAAAGTCTTTCCCCATCTTGCTTATTCACTCTCTTTATTTATTGAAAGGCTGCAATAAGGTCTCCCCACTGCCTTCTTCTTCTTGCTGAACAACCCCAGTTCTCTCGAACTCTCCACACAAAAGAGGTGCTCCAACCCTCTGATCATTTTTGCAGCCTTCCCTGGGATGCACTTTACCATACCCATGTCTTTCACATACAAGGCACTCCAGAACTGGACACAGTACTCCAGGTGCAGCATTCCATCACCTAGTCTGTAGTGATATTGGCGATTTTGTTCTGACCCAGGTACAGGACATTGCACTTGGCCTCAGTAAATTTCATGGGCCCACAGTTCAAGCAAGTTAGGGTCCATCTGGATGGCATCCCTTCCCTCTGGCATATCAGTTGCATCACTCAGTTTGGTATCACCTGCAAACTTATTAGGGGTTCACTCAATCCCACTGTCTGTGCCATCAATTAGCATTGGTCCTTTTCCTAACTATGATGACTTTTCAGATCTGATGGAGTTTGGTTTAGCAGCTACATCAGCAAGTTCCCTTTGCGATACTCTTTGTCAGGTCTCATGGACTTGTATATGTTCCAGTTCATCAGATGGTCTCACACCTGCTCTTCTTTCACAATGGGAAGGACTTTGAGATCCCAGTCCCTGCTTGACTGGACTTGAGATATGTGGCAAGGATGATTACCAGAGAAAAGTGAGTCTTTTTCTGACTAGCAATACCTATAGAAGCCCATCTTATCATTTTTCTCATTCCTTGCTAAATTCAGCTCTAATTATCCCTTAGCTTTCCTGATTCCATCCAGGCACTGTCCCTGTGCCTTCTTCCCAGGACATATGACATCAGTTCCACTGCCTATGCATTTCCTACTTACATATCAGTTCAATAAAAAGACAGACATCCCAAAAGATGCCACTCACTCACCCAAAAGATGTTGGAAAGCCTTGGTTGTTGGAGCTCCATAGTGGCTGGTTCTATGCAGATCCCTGTGAACTGACAGCTGGGACAGCCAGTGCTCCCACACTCTCACTTGGCCCTCTCCTTAGACCTGCTGTGTGCCAGCCAGCCTCTCCACACACACAGCCCAAGGAGGGCAGTGATTTGGAAAGCTCCTCAGGTGCCCCCTGGGCACCTTGCAAGCTTCAGCAGCTACTACTGCTGTTAGCACCAGCTTCCCATGGTTTAAACTGAAATAGCTGAAATATAAGTTCAATATAAGATTCCCTTAACAGTTCAAGATAAATGGCCAAATACTTACAGCAAACACCATTGGTATGACTTCTCCAGTCAATGCAGACATTTTGATCGGCACAGACAGCTGCATAGATCTGCAGACTTGAGCATTCCAGGTCTAAGTCGGGAAGCATACAGCTATCAAAAACGCAAGCTGCATAGTACTTATCAGGCTTAACAACTTCATGGCACTTCTCAAACACACTAAAAATAGAAAGATACATCATTATTAGTTACTGAATTATACATAATTTCTCCAATGTGCTAAGCATGTTATATTGTGGTAAAAGTGACACTTCAGGAAATGTGAACAAGGATTATTATTGACAGATTTTCACTAAGAGCATTTGACAAGACTGCAACCTTCCAACGTATTTTACAATATTCTCCTCTCATCTACAATACACCCACACACCAATATTTTCATTCTAGGAGCTACATGAATATTATGAAGTGTAGTCATTAGCTATTTTTCACTTTTTAATTCTGACACTAGGTTCAAAAAAATAAGTTTTTTTTCAGTTGGTCTCTCTTTGCTGCTAAGAGAACATGGACTAAGAGCACAGAGTAGGACAGTGGAAGGTAGATAGCACAAAAGAATATAAGAGCATCAAGTAAGGCTAATGTAGCAGCCAAAGGGTTGTGAGTAAAATCTATCAGCAAAGGATGACATCTTAAAACAGCAAAAGAAACAGAAGAAAGCCAAGAAACCCACAGTAGTTAGAAACATTTTTATTGAGAAATGAACCCCAAAACTGTCATCACACTTGAAAATGAAATGCTTATAAACACCAGAAGAATGCATGCCTACCTTCCCCAAAGAAGCTCACAGAGGGAAGATTCTTTGCAAGGCTGCCCTGGTGTTGTGCTAGGTGCTTTTGTAGGAACTAGACCTGGAGAACACTGTGGTTTGGATGGATCAACAACTTGCCAATGATCTGCCATGGTTTCACAGTTTTCTGCAATATCTCCATTTGGCAACCTGCAGTCATCTGCCATGTCGTTATTGCAAGTGCCTAAAATGGGTAAGAGGAAAAAGAATTAGCTACAGATTCATTATCAAATGCCATTCATCTTTGTGGCAGGGCTATGATTTACCTGTTTGTAGTTTACTGAAAGTACAAAAAAACATAAGAATAAGCCTTACCACACTGTCCTTGAGTGTTGTTTCCAAACAGGCTGTAGGGCATTCTGATAGAAAATGACAAGCCATTGAAGGTCACATTCATTTTAAGCTCAGGAATTTCCACTACACGATTTATGCCTGACTCATAGATCCTCAAGCCAAATTTCTTATAAGGCAAAGCCACAGCCTGTTTGTTTACAGTCACCTAGTAAATAAAAGAAAACAAAACAGAGACATACATTTTCATTAGAAAACAATCAACTGTTCATTACTTTGCATTGAAGATAAATTTGTAAAGACTTTTAGTTTATAAGAAATGTCCCTGTTTTTCCTTACATGATACTGGAAAGCCAAACTTGCCCTCTCCAAGTCAGAAAGTCCTATCAGCCATTAATACTTAGGAGTTTAAACACTCTACAGATTTCTTAGGGTGACTAGGGCATTAAGTACTGCCTAATGCCATCCAGGAGACTAATAACTTTCTTTTGTGATGCATTTACATCAAACTAATTTGTGATATTCCTATACAGTAATGTTCAATGAAAACTGGACAAGTCAAGTCTAAAAACAAACATTTCTCTCTCAATTTTGAATCCCCAAAGTTGTGAACAAGATTTATCAGTTAAACACGTAAGAGTCTCTTCTCTGAAAAATTTAAGAAGTAATACCAATCAAAGCGAGTAACAATCGTTTTTTTAAATGGTTAAGCCCAGTTCTTTAATTCCAATGTCTAGTTTATATTGTATGCTCCCATTCAAAATCTAATCTTTTCCTTTCTTACACAAATAGCAATTGTAAATTAATTTATTTTATAGCCTTAACTCTTAGCCATTCATCCATATTTATGCATTTGTGAGAGAGAACACACTGCAAAGATTTATAATAAGAAAGGAAAGGAGTTGTTGAAACTTTTCCCAGTATTCAGATTCAGAAAAGCATCCCTTCAATGCAGTACTAGTTAATAATCCCAAACGTTTTAAAATCTGAAGCACATAGTCAATTTCTAATTTTCTCCTAATGCTGTGAATATAATTACAAGGTTGATGACTTATTAATATTTCTGTCAAGAAATGAAAGGTAACTTCCTCCAATACCTCTACTTCCAGGGTATTTGGTTTCACTGTTACAATGCGCACTTCCTGAGTCTCATGTCTCACAATGAGTGCTCGTGGACAGGAAACAACATCCCGTGCGTCACAATGGTAGTTATCGATGTAGACACCAAAGTTGTCAACTGTTTTTTCAATCTCTTCCACAAGAACATATGTGCAATTCCCTTGATAGCTGTAGTACAATCCATCAAAAGTCAAATAATGCGGGTCTCCCCAGCCAGTGCAGTAACCTGTGAAAACATACAGCCAGGTTAGTTACTTATGGTAACATGCAGAATCCAATCAGACTACAAATAAAATCTGTAGATGTGAGATTCATCTACTCTGACTTAAAGAATTTAAATATTTAAAGTGTATCTGTCAATGCATGAGCACTTTTCTAGAACTCACCCAGAACAGAAAAGAATCCTGTCATGGTTTTGTGATTTTGGGGACCTACAAGGCACTGTTTATCTAACTTACTTCTGAACGACAGCAGAGAATAGGACTAATTGTGCCCTAGAAGTACCTGTACAGACTGCCTAAACAACTAACTTATATGCAGATTTGCAGTGTATAGATGTCTGCATCTTGACATTTAAAACCTATCTTAGGAGAACAATTTGTTCTAGTGGCAAAACATTTATGTAGAAATGATGGAAATCAAAGTAAAATTCCCCAGTTAGCCAAAAAGAACCAATGAAGCATTCTAAACAGACCAACATTGGAAGTCTTAGAGCACATCTTGCACAGTATTTGTCCCCAATAAACAATGCTGCTCTTTACATTTGTATTGTTCCCCAGGAAATAAAATATTACACAGAATATTATACTTACAATCACACTCCCAATGCCAACAGCACTGATTATCATCAATGACTTGTACAGGAGCGAGCCCATTGGAACAGGTGGGTTTAGGAGGTGGCTCACAGATTATTGGAACAATCACAACAGTGTTGTTTTCTAAACATGTAGCATTGATGCAGTCACACAGCCACCACGACTCACCTGGCTGTATTTGGAAAGAAGTTTAAAAAAAAAAAAAAAAAGCCTTATGAAGCAGTCAGTTTGAGTCAGACTACTAACATTTAAACCTGAATACCTTCTACAAAGTTTTAAAGTGCCACGTGTTTAATGGCAATTTTATTTCCACCAGAAGTCTGAAACTGGGAAAGAACAACAGCATTCATCACCATTAAGGCCTGAAAGCTAGATTTATTCAAAGTCGCTGAGTAAAAGGCATTATTATAACAACTAAGCCAGTAAACAAAAAGGGGAATTGCTTTTTTCAAGTTTAATTTGTCTAGAAGTTAGATATCTAATTTCATCACCTAGACTCCCCTCTAGATCGACAGGGAAAGAGAGGATATGATCAACTCTGTTCCACAGATGTCTACGGAAGCGACGGTGAAAACAAGCTACTTGGAGTGTAATGTATTAGATCACTATATGCATGCATTGTGAATGTAGGCATTTTTTTCCATCTTGTTTGAGTTTCTGAGCCACTCAATAAATTTTATCCCTGCATAACTAGAACTTTCCAAAAACCTTAGAATAGGAGTGAAAAAATCATTAAATGTGGTATTCTGTTTCAAAGTTAGCTCTTGAAATCAGTCTACAACCAAGACAGACTTAGTTCAGCCCTCAATTTCCTTGGGCTTTACTGTAAATACAACAAACTTCTCATCACGCACTGGACCTATTCAAAAGTAGAAAAACGCAAAGAGAGTTTACTGCCTCTTAGCCCTTGGTTTCCTCCTCAGAAAAGTTTTTGATGAGAAAGAGAAGGATTGAGCTGCAATCTAACACCTTGAAGAAAGATTTTTTAAAACTATTATTGAAGAACTAATGCCAGCATAAACACTATAAAATAAGAATTCACTAGAAGTCAAGCTGATACCCAACAGAACGGGGACAAACAAAATGGACTAATAGTCGATTTCTATCCAGATTAATCCATACATTCTAAGCATGTACCTAGACTCCTACCAAAGCACAATGATAAAAATAACCATAATTAAATTCACTAACCGCGTAAGTTTCATTAGGTGAAATCGTACAATTGGGGCTGGAACTGGCAGTTGAACTTAAAGTACTGAGTGTAGTAATTGTGCTATATGTAGAGCTTCCTGAAACAGTGACTGTACTTGATACAGGAGTTGTCCCAGAAGTACTAGCTGAACCAGAGGAAACAATTTCCGAGGTGGTAATGGTGGTGGCAGTAACAGTACTAAAAGAACTAGAGGTTGTTCCTGAAGTGGTGGTAAAAGGCTTTGTAGGAGTTGTTCCGGATGTTGTGACTGTTGATGGGACTGTTGAAACTGAAGGTGGTGACATACTGCCAGATGGAGTCAGCAATGGAGAGGATGCTCCTGTAGTTTGTGTGCTAATGGGTGTAGAAACTGAAGCTGCTGAAGAGCTCTCAGACACAGTGGTTGTACCTTCGGTGCTAAAAGAACCTGTAAGAATCGTAGTGCTGTACGAAGAAGTTCCTGAGAAAACAAACACTTTAACAGTTAGTACCTGTTCTGATGTCATACAAAAAGCACAAAGTAAGGGAGCTCATGGAAAATGACATCTCCCCTTGAAAGGGGGAAAGTCACAAGAAAAAGCACACTTCCTTTGTGCAACAGGCCTACAAAGCAAGATATTCTCTTCAGCTAAAGGATGAGACCTCACAGTACAAACAGTAATAATAAACATCACAGCTGACTCTGATTGAAAATCTGCCAAAAAAACTCGACTACATGAGCAGTAAATGAAAAAAAAAGCTTCTCCTGATAACAAAAGCACTCTCATCTCCTTCAAACACTAAGATTAAAAACAACATTTGAAATCCTGATCCTTTAAGGAATACGAAGAAATAGCTTAAACAAATCTCGAATCACACTGAAAACATAAATTCAGGTGCTAACACATCGAAACTCTCATAACAAAAAAAATGCAGAAGCTGAAATAAAGACAAAAAAATTACCTAAAGTAGTTGACAATGGAGATGTAAGGGAGGTGGTGGGAGTTGGCCTGGGTGTTGGAGTTGGCCCTCAGCCCATACACAAAGCCTAAGTTCAGGCG